TTATTCTCCTGAGCCTTCTCCCTGGCCCCCGTTTATGGTTTTTATCTAGCTGTCCCCCTAAAGTCTCATGCACTCATAGGTGGGACTTTGGGGAGATGGGCAGATCACATGGGTGTGATATTCATAGGTAACTGTGATGTTGGGCAGTGAAGCAAGGTGGGAGGAGCTGTAGTCATGGCGGCCGTGGCCTGGCAAGGTCCTTTCCCTGCTCTTCCCTTAATTACTCTCTGCTTTCTGTCTGCCAAATCATGAGCCACTTCTCTGCCATGCTCCTTTGGCATCTCACCCTGCCTTGAAGCCAGCTGACTATGGACTGAAACCTTTACAAACTGTGACCCCAAATAAACCTCTCCTTTAACTTGGGGGCATTGTGTATTAGCCTTCAGTGACAAGAAAGTAACTAAGTGAGAGCCACCTTTTGTAGGGGTCATGGAGGCCATCCTGAAAGGTGACCGCTGGGATGGGAGGGAGGAGTGAGTCCAGACTGGAGCCAAGAGGAGTGTCAGAGGGAACTGCAGTCTGAGGGCCTCAGTGGTCAGAGTCAGTGAGGGAGGGGAGGAGGGCACCAGAAGGCCAGGAAGTAGGAGCCAGTTCTATGGTGCCTGCAGGACACTGAGCCAAAGGCAGGATGTGTCATTTGGCAGCATCACCAGATGTTTCCTATCTACTGTTGTTTAATAAAGAGTTGAAGTGTTTACTCAGTGTTGACATGGAGTGCAAGCTCCATGGTTCAGGTCCCCAGACAACAAAGGTTATCCTGGCTTTGGCTGTCACTTGTAGAAAGGACAGGTTTTTGGATAGAGGTCCAGAGCATTGCTGCATCTGCAAGGACCATATGTGAGGTAGAAAATGGAAGTGACTAACGTTTCTAGAAAAGTTGAGAAGTCTATGGAGAGAGGTCCCTGTGCCACATTTTGACTTCACAAGATGTGAGTCAGAGACTGGCAGCCCAGGGCACCTCCCTCCTCTGTCCTTGTTGTACCCTGGGGCTCATTTTGTTCTTGGTCCCAGAAGGAAGTCACAGTACCAACAGTCCACCAGGCTCAAAGTGAACCATGCCTTTTTCCTGGTTTGTCATCAAGGCAGGGTGAAAGAGTCTATTCATCTGGAGAATCTCAATGGGCCTAACCCACAAGTGTCATGTTCAACAAGCCTGTGTCTGGACACAAAAAGCCACCCTTGGGGATGGCTTTGGCCACCTTCAGATGGTGCATTGCGTCTCTCTAATTGTGCCCAAGTCACAACTCAAGACCTTTCTCTGGGGAATGAAAAACTAGCCTCCTGGCAGCACCTCCCCTTCACTGCCCAACTCCACTGCAGCCCAGCAGGCCCCTCTCTCCAGCAAAGTCTCCTTAGCCAGAGTAGTACCCTGGCCCTTTCTTGTCTCCTCTCCAACCTGAACCATTCCCTGTGGGGAGTGTAGTCTGAACCCCTCTCAGGTCTCACTCTGGAGGCCAAAGGAGCTGTCCCCCAGGCCAACAGCTCTCTACCCCTATATCCCTTCTTTCATCTTTAGCCTGTAGCCATCATGTCCCTGACCCTGCCATTTCCTTTGGCCAAGGGGACTCCAGAGGATATGTGCAGGAGGCTGTATAATAGTGGCCCACAGGGGACCATGACGGGCCAAATGGGCATTGGTGATGAGGGTCCCACACAAGTGGCATGGGGTCTGAATCCTTGGCACAGTCAGAACCCAGGACATGCACCCTTTCTGCTGGGAGGGGAGGGCATGAGGTTTCCCCATGGGTTTCTCCTCACTCTAGGAATGTAGCTGCCAGCTCCCCAATAATGTCTATGGTTGGAGGCACAGTGTAGAGCTCAGGCTGATATCAGGCTGACTGGTCATAGGGCCTCTCTGAGCTTCAGTCTTTTTATGACTAAGACCAAGATTGCACAAAACCCACTCCATCTCATGGAGATACCAGGGGGAATCAGTACCTGGATTTGTATAGAATGCTTTGCTTAGAAGGTTGGACCCACCATGTCCAAGATCAGTATGGGCACGGCCCTGGCCTTTGCCCTAACAACGCCACTTCTGAGGTTAATCTTACCCACAAGCTGGCCCACAAGCAAAATGATGTCAACACAAGGCTATCCCAGTGTATCCTGGGTACCTTATGATCATGTGAAGCACAAAGCCTGTTCCAAAGTCAGTTCTCCTGGGTGTGCCTTCAAGTCAGCATTAGGCAGGGATGTGAGCATGTAGGTGTTTGCTAGGATGTGTGTAAAATATTTGGAAATACTCATGAGAATCCAGCATCTACTTTTAGAAGTACAGCTGGTTTGGAAGGAGCATTTTCACTCTCATGTTTGTATTACCCCCCCCACTCTTTTCTTTTTAATTAATTAATTAATTAATTAGTGGTACTAAGGATTGAATTTAGAACCTTGTGCTTGCCAGATAGGTGCTTATGCCGCAGAGTTATATCCCTGGCCCTCCCCCTACCCACTGTAAAAGAATTATTTTGAGACAGGCTCTCATTAGGTCATCAAGTTGCTCAGGCTGGGCTCGAACTTGCAATCATCCTGCTTCAGGCTCCCAGAGTGCTGGCATTCCCAGTGGGTGTCACCATACCAGGCTACATCTTTCTGATTTTTAACCGTATATTTGAATGATGTAGTAAAAATAAATGCATCCAAATTTAAGAAAATGATACCTCTGTGGGGAATGTGTTCCTGTAGTGACAAGAATTTTGAAGCCACAAGGTTGTTGATAGTCTCAACATAAAGAAGTATTCCACTATGAAATAGCTCACTGTCCTTTTTTTTTTTTTTTTTTGCAGAACAAGGGATTGAACTCAGGCCCTTGCACTTGCCAGGCAAGCACTTATTCTACTGAGCCATCTCCTTGGCCCCTCACCATATTTTTTAAACCAGATTTCAGGATTTCATTTCAAGTCTATTTTTTTTCAAGTCTATTTTTTTGTTTGTTTTTGTTTTAGGGCACTGGGAATAGAAACTTAGGACCTTATGCTTGCCAGGCTGGCGCTGCTCCGCTGAACTAAATCTTTGGCTCTTCCTTTTCAGCAAGAAAATGGAAGGCAATCATGAACTGCTGCCCTGGGAAGTGAATATTCATTGAGCATATGCACACGGACTTGAGGTGGGGGACCCTGAACATGCATCAGGGGTCAGAATAGGGTCCCTATCCCTATCCAAGTCCCCTGCTGCCTTATGGGGATGAACAAAGTGAGCAGAACCAAACAGATGAAAGGGTGAGCTTCTTTTGTTGTCTTCTTTCATTATTAAAAAAAGTTACAAAACAGTATCATTCATCATATATTTCTTGCTTATTTCCTTTTTTAAAAAAATTAAAGTAATAAAAAAGTTACTTTATAAAATAATACAAAAGGGCATGGCAGGCTGGGGCCAGCAGTCACTGTCTGAGCTGTTGGGCCAGGAGGCAGTGCTTGGCTCCTGGTTCTCCTCCCACGGCAGGCTGGAGGAATGGGTGAGGCAGGGGGTTCTGGGCAAGGTCCCAGGTTGCAGTCAGGGCTAAGGGTGGGTACCCTCTCTGGCTGGGTCTCCTGAAGGCCTCAAGGGAGGAACAGGGAGGCTGCTGGTGGGGGGGTGGCTAGGGCCTGGGGAGGGGAAGGACGGGCACTAAGGCAGCAGGGCTGGCTCCTCTTCCCTAGCTCCCGCTGCTGAGCATCCCCAGCAACTTGCTGGGCTCCAGTCCCTGCTGCTGGGCCACTGTCTGCACATCAAAGCCCATGTGCATGAGGAACTGGGCCACATTCATTTCCTGCCCAGTGAACTGGTCCCGAATGGTGGGGCATGAAGGATTACAGTGGGGCCAGGGGCAGCTGTCCACCAGGTGGATGGGGCAGCCCTTCAGGGGAGTTTTGCTGGCCTTATGGCTGTCATGGAGGCTTCTGTCCCAGCAGTGCAGTGCTCGAGGCAGCGAGGTCCCCTTCACTTGGATGTCTGTCCAGTGGCTGCAGACAGAAATGTGGGGGAGGGAATAGGGCAGAGGTTTCATGACTGTTATTAGGGGCTGTGCTTTAATTCTGACTATGAAGACTGCTGTACCCCCAATGGTTTTAGAAGTCACAGAAGGAATCTCTTTCGGTGGATCCAGGAGGGGTTTGTGGGAGGGCAACGACAGGTTTGGGGGTGACTATGATTATGGGGCACCTGGAATTAGTGCTGAGGACAAGCTGCACTAAGGCCGGGTCACGGGTCACTGACCTCCGGATAATGATCTCGTGGGACAGGCAGGCAGGAGCAAAGCTGGCCCTGGTGGGAGGAAAAAAGCAACCTGAGCCCTCAACTCTAGCCCCTTCTCCACTCTGCTGCAAGCCAGGAAGCTCCAGTCTGTACCCCAGGCCTGTTTGCTGCCTGGTGAACATTGGCTTTCTGACCCTGTGGCTAACTAGGTGCTCCCTGCCTGGAGCCTGGTCTCCCTACCCTGTACTAGCCAATACATTCTTTGCAACCTTCGCCCTTTGAGCCTCCAAATTTTGCTCAGATTCCACTTTGTTCAGTTGGGCCCTTCTGGGCAGTGGAAAGAGGCTGTCCCAGACAAAGTTTTTGCCACTCTTGAGACCTCTTTCTCTTTTGTTCTTTTTGAGACAGGGTCTCACTCTGCAGCTCAGGTTGGCCTTGAACTCACTTTGTAGCTCAGATTGGCCTCTATCTTACAATCCTCTTGCCTCAGCCTCTCAAATTCTGGGATTACAAGTGTGTGCCACCACATCCAGTAAGATTAACCTCTATTGATTAATCAAATGATTTGCTGCAGATTTGGAAGGGCTGAATTAGCCACCCAAAGTGGGGTCCCCAGCACACTCACGGCACATCCTTGAGGGTGCTGCGCAGCTCATGGCCCAAGTTCTGGATGTACAGCCACTGCCCTTCCTGGACCGGCTGTCCTGTGAGATGTACGTTGTCCGCGGTCAGCTGGGCCTCATCAAACAGCCACTGCACCACGAACACGGGGCCTGGGAGGGACAAGGGTCAGCTTGGCCTGCCATGATACTAAAGTCCTTTCCAGCTCCAAGGAAGGCTCGAAGGCCAGCCAGGCTCAGCAGGGCTCCCATGACCCCATGCCTTTCTGCTTGTGTGTGAGAGGAATACTGGGAACTGAACACAAGGCCTCACTCATGCCAGGCAAGCACACAACCACTGAACTATATTTCAACCCCTTCTTCCTTCTGTAACATATATTTTTGCCAGGCCTGGTTCTAAACACATATAATCCTAGCACTCCAGAGGCTGAGGCAAGAGGATTGATAAGAGTTTGAGGCCAGCCATGATTACATAGTGAGTACAAGACCATTCTGAGCTACACAGCAAAACCTTGCCTCAAAAACTAAAATAAAGTACACTTTTTTTTGAAGAAGGACCCTTTTTTGTTTGCCTGTGGTACTAGGGCTTGAACCTAGGGCCTTTGCCCTGAGCTAATTGCCTAGTTCCCTTTCTCTATTCTGAGATAGGGTCTCACTAAGTTACTAAAATACCTAGACTAGGCTCAAACTTTTCTCAGCTTCCTTAAGTGCTGGGATTATAGGTGTAGACCACTGCATCTGGCTAAGGGACTCTTTATTTATTATTAGTTTTTAAATGTACTTGGTACAGGGTCTCACTATGCAGTTGGGACTCATGGTGATCCTCCTGCTTTCAGCCTCCCCAGTGCTGGGATTACAGGCTTATGCCACTACATCCCATTATATGGCACTCTGGCCAGCTCAGCCCACCTTGGGGGTGGGGCTGGAACAGCATGTGGTATTGGGGATGAATCACAGTCCCTGCGCTTGCCTAAGCTTGCCTAAGCAGGTGCTTTAATCCACCAAACTATCTCACCAGCCCTAAAGGACTCTTGAAAACTGCCTACCACCTTGGTCTGGCCAAACTTTGGTGATGCTATTTCTTTGAAAGGGCTTGACTAAACTTCAGAGTGTGAGGCTTGGAAGGCAGAGACCCCACAGCAGAGACAGTATGGGGGTTCAGCTTCAAAGTCTATCTGTAAGCGTTAATATAGACAGGGTGACCAACTGTCCTGATTTGGTCAGGACTAAGGAGTTCAAGGATAAAAACCAGGATAGATGGAGGCAAAAAGGGGCTACTGGTGTAGATGTGGTCTCTTCTCTGGGCCAGTGCAGCAGTTTCTGGCCCACTTCTAAGGATGGATTTTCAGGAAAGGTGCAGCAAGCCTGGACAGCCCACTGCTGCCCAGGTGCCCCACAGAACCTGCTACTCACAGCGCAAAGTCGGGTAGACTTTGTAGCCTAAGAAACAGTTCCACTCCTCGCCTTCCTTGAACTGGCTCCGACAGCGCTCTGGGACCATGCCATTCCAGTACCTGGAGCCAGAGCTTTGAGTTAGACTAGAGCTCCTCCCTCTGGGACACCAACTAGGTCATCTGCATGGGAGGGTCTTGGAGTCACACCTGATGCCTCTGCGGATGGCCTCTGTGGGCGCACACGTCACAGTGTCAATGCAGTCTGTGCGGCGGTACTGCTTATTGTCCAGGAACCAGCCTGAATCAGCCAGGCCCCGCACCTGGATGGCAGGGTAGCCCAGTTCCTCCAGCTGCTCAGCTACACGGTCCACATTCAGCAGCACCCCAGTGCCCCCAGCGCTGCACAGAAGGCCATACCTGAGCCAGGTGTCTGGGAGGGTGCTCACCACTCACCCTGAGCCTGCTCAGATCCTAGCTCAGCCCCTAAGCAGGACAAGGGGTCCTGATACCTCCAATCATTGCATTCAGACTACAGATACATTTCCCATTGATATGTAAAATTCATGGGCATCTTGGAGGCCTGGAGGCTGAGGAAGCTGGTAAGCTCTAGGCACTGGTCAAAAGCTATGGGTGGCAGGACAGGGTTTCTCTGCCATGCAAGGGCCTGAGCTCTCCTCTCCTTTCCTTTCCCTCTCTCTGCCCCATTTTCCTTATCTGAAAATGAAGATCCTTTTCATGCCCTGCAGGCCTACTGGAATAGTGACTGACCAACTGGCCTATAAAGACTCAGGCCCTGGAGGACATTAGTCTACTGCTGACTCCTTATCCACTACCCAGGTTGGCCCCTGCAGTCTAATAGCCATGGGGTCTAGAAGCTTCTCTGGAATTCTCAATAATAGAGGCCTCTGAGACCAGTTTAGGGTGTCACTCCATGACACCCTAAACGTGCATGTTCTCTGGTTCCAGCTTCTGCCCACCAAGGTGTGCTAAAGCCTGAGCCAGTAGGTGTCTGTGAGGCCAGAGACCTGGACTCCCCAGTCTGCAGGGTCTGCTCTCTCCTTGGCTCCTATCCACAGCCCTGGCCAGTTTGCACCAAGGGCTCACCCTTTCTCCCCTCCCCTGATACCCATTGCCCACCTGCTCCCGGCCAGCAGCAGCACCTTGGCCCCACTCAGTCCTCTGCCCAGGAGCTCCTGCACCACCTCTCGGATGATGAGGGCACCCATGAATGCGTACTCATCTGCGTGGAGAATGGGGCTTCAGGTGGAGCCTGGACAGAGAGTAGGCTCCCTACCCTTGATTGGAGTGGGCCTTCCTGGGGATGGGCTGGGGGCTGGGTGGGTTGAAGGGAGGTGGGTCAAATACTGGAGGCCCTGTTGGAGGCAGCACCTCAATCAGGACCTCTCAGGAGTGGGGCTACGGCAGGGGCCAGGCCAGTCACAGACATGGTGGTAACCATGAGGAAGTCCCAAGGTCAAAAGTACGCATCTTCCTAGAACCCCATCATCCTGCTTTCCTACAGGGGAGTCAGGGACTCACTCTTCTCAGACTTGGAGGAAGCCCCACTCCAAACGTCACTGGAGCAATAGGGAATGAAGCTGCAAAGCCAGAATGTGTGAGCTTGCTGTGGCCCTCTGCTGCCCAGAGGCTCCAGGAAGAACCCTGGGACAGAAGGACCATTTCCCAGGAAGGACAACTTCCAATCTCTAGGGAAGATCCCTCAAGACAAGAGCCTCCTCCCCCAAGATTGCATCCAACCTCCAGGAAAGATAACCCAGAAAAGGTCACAGGACAGGGCACTCCCAAGAAAGATCACACCCATTCTCCAGGAAGACCTCCCTCGAGGACAAGACCCCACCATGAGGGGCCACACCCAGACTTCAGAACAGGAACCCCAAGAGGACCATTTTCCCCAAGGACTCCTCAGGAGGGAGTATCCCCCAGGGAACATCCCCTGGGACCCGCCCCCCCAGGACCCCACACCCTTTCTCTTACACCATGTTGGCATTCCACCAGTAGGGGTTCTCCTCTGGCTGAGAGGACAGGATCCCCGTGCCTGGGGACACAGAGATGGGTGGGTCTTTCTTCTGGCGGGAGGGAGCTGTGCAGGGATGGAGACTACACGAAGGTATGAGGGAAGAAAAGGTCCTACTTGGCCTCATGAAGGAGGTGGGTGGTGCTGGAGGACTGAGCCAAGGTTACTAGGGAAGGGGGGGATGGATGGGTTTGGTTATGCCAGAAAGTCACCATGGCCACCATGATCAGCCAGGCTGTGACACTAGATGTGACACCTTCGATTTTCCTACCCTGTACCAAATGTTTTGACCCTGGAGAGATGAACAGTGGTAAAACTCAGCACATTGAAGCTAGTTTTGGGGTGCTAAGCCAAGAGTTAGCATCCTCTGGCTTTACAGAACTCAGTACTTGTTTGGGGAAGGTGTACTTGGTGGAGGTGGCTCTCCCCATCCTTTTTTTTTTTTTTTGTCTGTACTGGGGATTGAACTCAAGACCCTGAGCTTGTCAAGACAGGTGCTTATTTTACTGAGTTATCTCCCCAGCCCTCCTCATCCTTCTTGAGCACCTCATTATAACAGATTGCCTAATCTTGTCCCCTGGTCAGCTTTGGATGGCAGGTCCTGAAACACTCACCTGTTCGAGTCTGGGGCCAGTCTTTGGAGCTCATGAGACGCCGCATGGTGTCATATCTCGAGTTGCAGTTCTCCCGGTTGAAGCAGTACCAGCCGCCTGCAGGTACAGCCACCTCAATTGATCTGCAGGCTGGGGAACACCTCCTCTGCCCACACCAAGCCTCAGCTCCTGGCACTCACCTTCCAGAAAGAGCAGCCACCGCCGGCTACCCTTGGACTCCTTTAGGTAGTAGCTGCAGGGACGGGCGCGCGAAGCAGGTGGTCAGCTGGGGCTGCAAAGGCTGCGACTACGCCCAGGTCCCCGCAGTCTTCATCCCTCCACCCGAGGAAAGGGTCAATCCACCTGTCACCCCGGTAGCGCGACGACCACACGGGGGCACCAGCGGCCAGGCCCACACAGAGCGTTTGGAGCAGGGCGGCTGTCCCGGGAGGTGGCGCTCGCGCAACGGAGAAGGGGCACGAGGGTAGTGTGCTCCGTGGAAAATCCCCATAGCCTGCCCGGCGGGGGACCCGCTGTGACCCTGGCGCCTGCGGCGGGTGGGCGGGTGCCCCTGGGTGCCCAGTGGCCCTTGGAGAGGAGCACCCGCCCTGGAAGCCTGTGTGTGGGCGGAGGCAGCTAGAAGCTCCAGGCGACGTGGGGGCTAGGGCGCCACTGAGGCAGGGTCACAGCCTGCCCCCCGCAGGCTGGGCCCAACGGTAACTCACTGAAGGCATGGGCTCCCCAGTCTCTTCCAACCCCCAGCCTCACATCCATCTTTTCCTTCTCTAGGATTAGGATGTAAGAGTGAAAGCCGCACCCGGGACCTTCAGCCCACTTGCGCCCCCTCCTTGCCCCTCTGTCCCGCGATGGGATTCCTGACTGTGGAGAGTCAAGCTGGGGTAATGGTGGTAGGCTGTCCCCACCTGCCCGTGCCCCTCTTCCTTTGGAGTCTGGGCCACTCACGAAGAACTTGGGCAGAGGGCCTGTGCACGGCGATCAGTGCTCGCGCTGGGCAGAGACCTGGCCTTCAAGCGCTCCCCCACCCCGATTCCGCGCGCCGGGAGTCCCCAGCCAGGGCCTCCCAGGGCCAGCTTCGCCGGGCGCCTGACGGGAACCATTCGCCAGGGCAAGCACTACCCGGGACAGCACAGAGGGTCCAGTACAGAGTCCCTGTGTACACGCGCGCAGGGGGACAGAGACGCAGCGATGAGGCGGCGGTCCTGCAGGGTCCTGGAGGGTGGGCCTTACCCAGCCGGGCTGCCGTCGTTGCAGGTCACCGACGTGTTGAGCAGGAGGTGGAGGCGCAGGTCCTCGTTGAGCTGCTGTGCTGAGCAGGGGTACAAGGACTGTGCTAGGCTCTTGACCTGCGCCATAAAGCTGTCCATATTGCCCTCCACGGCCGTGAAGTCCAACGGGAAGCTCTCCACTGGCTGCCCGGTGCCCGGCGCGGCCTCGGTCCGCTGCGGGGGCAGTGGGGGTGGCGGCGGCGGGGCGGGTTGCTGACCTCTGCGCCGCCAGGTCTTCCTGCCCTCGCCGCCCCCGGCGCAGTGCAGGAGGCCCAGCAGGAGAAGCACGCGTATCCCTCGGCCCATGGCTGTGCCACTCCAGCCGGCGGCCACCTGCGGAGAGCAGTGGCCTTCAGGCAGAGGCTGGGGGCCCTGGGGACACGGGACGCGGGGGGCGCGGATGCTGCTTTCCGGCCCCCCTCCCGTGCGCCAGGCCTGGCCGGGGCAGCTTGGGCTCTGGCGGCGTCGAGGCTCTAGGGCTGGCCAGGCACCGTCGGCTCCGCAGCTCGGGCCGCGCGGGATCTGGGTGCGCTGGCGCCGGCCCGCGCCAATGAGCGGCGGGGCCGGGCTGGGCGTAGCTCTCGGGGGCCGCGGCGGCTCGGGTGCCCGCGCGTTAGATGTGCCGCCGCCTGGCCTCGGCGAGGGGGAGGGGGCCTCGGTGGAGTTCCTTTTGGCGGAGGCATCGCCCTTTCTTCCCAAACCGCAGGCCTGACGGAGGGGCCTGGACTCTCCGTCGCGGCCGCCGGAGGCGCTCCGGGCCGGCTCCGTGGGGGGCAGCGCAGCCGGCAGCTCGGAACCCAGCGGCCAGCCCGGCGCCGCGGCCCCAGCCCTGGGAGCGGCGGCGGACAGGGAGCGGCGAGGCCTTTCCACGCCGCCCGACGGGCCGGGGCAGGGGCGCAGAATGAGAGCGCGCACCTGGATCTCCGCGTCCCCCCGCCGCTGCCCAGGCCTGACGCCGTGGTGGACAAGCCGTCTCCTACCCCAGTTCCCGCGCCACGATCCTCCCCGAGCCCAGCGCTCACCGCGGCCAGCGAGCGCGCGGCCCGGCGGCCGGGCTTCTCCGTGTCTCCCGCGCTGCGTTCCCCCTGGCGCGCCCGGAGCGGCTCGTTCTCCCTCTGGCGCTGGCGCTGAGCCGCTCGGGACTTTTATCCAGCGGGGCCCCCGGGATCAAAGCAGCGGCGGACACAGGGCTCCGCGCCGAGGGGCCTCCGGGAGGAGCGGACAGGTGTGGCTCGAGGCCCCGCTCCCTGAGCGACTTGCGGGAGAAACCTGGCGCCTCGGCGCCGTGGCGGAGTGGCCCTATCCAGAGCCTTAACGGGTGATTCTGAGCAGGTCTCAGTGGTGCTGGGGTCAAGAGGGTGGCAGCAAAATACCAAGGTCAGACCGCAGTGGGGTAAGGTCCTGGGTCGCTCCGTGCAAGCACCCAGCTGCCGAACCCCCCAGAAGATCCTCAAGAACCTCTCCCTGCCCCTGCCGCTGATGGGGAAAGAGTGCTGAAGATTGGAGTAAATGAGGACTAGGTGACCTTCTTGCAACCTACAGAATCTGCCCGGTCAGGTCACCTTATTTTCCCTACTATAGCTCAGAGTTTAAATCACTGGGGCAGAATGAAATTCCTCTTAGAAAATTAAATTAGATACAATGTGTGAAAACAACAGATCTATGGAAGCTGAGGCATGAGGATCGCCTGCTTTGAGGCTATGTAGTGAGTTCAAAGCCACCCTAAAGCACAGAGCAAGACCCTGTTTCAAAAAAAGGGGGGATGTTCACACAGGAGGTGCTACAGGAAGAAACAAGAAGAGCTATATCCACTGTATACCCAACGTGTCACCATCCCATAATGTCACTCACCCCCTTTTTGCCTTACATTGCCACCTGCTACCGGATCTTTACATAAAGACAGGAGACAGTCCTATCATTTGGGACCAGCAGGGCTTCAGGTACCCACCCCAAAAAATCAGCATAGAGGGAGCCTTCCTTGCCTGGCAGGCACCTGATGCACCTGATTAGAATCTGCTGGGGCCGTGGTGCAGGCAGGATGCTGCCTGACCCTAGTGCTCTGGCTGAGAGAGGGGGAAGAAATGCCCTGCATACTCAGGAGGCTGCTCTCTGCTGGTCCTGACAACAAGTGAGCGGTCAAAGGAGACCCTCAAGAAAGGTCAGGCTGTGCACGTGTGTGTGTGTGTGTGTGGGGGACACAATGTGTCCAGGGTAAACTGCAAAGCTCAAGATCAGGCCAAGAGGTGCCCAGAAGGTCTGCTGACTTCAGGATACTCATGAAGGGAGAGAGGAGGCATACAGGTACACTCACTGACATCCAAGGGGAAATACATATTCATTTCCCAGATAAGAACTAAGTTCTGGGGGCCAGGGAGATAGCTCAGTAGAATAAGTGCTTGCCTGGCAAGTTTCCATGCACGGGGAGTCCCCAGCCCTGAGTTCAATCCCCAGTTCCACAAAAACAAACAAACAAACAAACAAAAATCAAAAAAACCCAGCTAAGTTCAGAGAGGCTAACAGGAGAGTTGCCACTACTTAGTTCATTCCAAAATCTATCCTTGCTGTCTGTTGTTGGGTCAGTTTAAAGACCATACATTCCATGACTGGCAAGGGCAGTAGCTTCACCATCTTGTGATATCTTCCCAGCCACCCCTGAAGCAAAGGCTGACCTGTGCAGTCTGGCTTTGTACAACCACCTGCTTTAGGAGCCTTCTGTTCTAGGAGCCTGCTGTTCTAAGTCCTGGCAGAGAAATGTTAATTGCCAGCTGGGTGTCATGGCTGGGTGCTGGCCTGTGTTTCACACTGACCTGACTCTGAGCCATTTCCTGGCAGGAAGATCCTGGGCAAGGTCCATGACCTCTGTGTCCCTCTGTTTCCTCTTCTTCAAAACAGGGCAATAACTGTACCTCCTTTGGACGGTTGCTGTGGGATTACTGGAGCCCATTCATGAAAGTGCACAGCAGTGTGGTGGTTATGATTGTCAATGAGGTCCCAGAACAAGAGAAAAACATGCGTATTATATTCTCAGACATTTGCTGTAGCATGATTTAGCCTGCACATTGAACTACAATGAATTTGTGTTTTCATTATTTAGTAGCAGAAGCAAAGGGGGGCTTGAACCCAACCTTTCCCAGAACTTCTCTGCTCTCTGTCTCAGTCTTCTACATCTCCCTCCCCCACAACACCCTCCTCCCCACCAAAGGGCCAGGCATAGGGTTCCCCAGGTTCTGAGGCTGCAAAGACCACCTGTCCTCCTCTAGCTTCAGACATACGGGCTCTGTCCTCCTCCAAGTCTAGCTCTGTCCTCTGCACAGGCAATGCCCACACAATTTCGAGGGCACTTCTCAGAGGTGGGTTCTTCACGCCACCAGGAAGCTGGGCCACTGCTTTCAGGACACATACATTGAGACCAGATGCCATTGTACACATGACTCTTGTACAGAAGAGGGACTCAGGAGTCATCAGTGCCTGGTCAGACAGTGAACAACACACAGATAGATGTCTATAACCAGTGCTGGTGAGGTCATGGAAGAATCACAACTGTTGTGCACTGCTGGTAGGAGGGTAAAATGGTGCAGCCGCTGGGAAAGACAATTTGGGACCCCTTGATAAGTCAAACGCAACATTATCATCTATCTAGCCTAGCAATTCCATTCTTAGGTATAGACCTGAAAGAATAGAAAACAGGTGTTCAAACAAAAGCTCGTCCATGAATGTTCACAGAAGCACTATTTATAAGAGCCAAAAAGGGGAAACAACTCAAAAGCCCATCAACCGAATGGCTAAACAAAATTGGCATGTTTCTACAAGGGAGGTTATTTAATCAGTGAGGAGAAAGACATTTTGACACATGCTGCAACACGGACACCTCTCAAAAACATTATACTCAATGCAATAACTTGTCACCAGAAGGCACATAGTGTATGATTTCACGGATAGGAAAAATTTAAAAGAGCTCAAGCCACCGGGGTGGCATCTACATTGGTTGGCAAAGGTCAGGGAGAAAGAAATGAGACTGCTTGATGGGTCTAAATTTGAGCGTTGAGGTGATAAAAATGTTCTAAACGTGATTGCGGTGGTCATAGCACAGCACTGTAAGTGTACATACTAAGTACCTGGAATTCTACCCTTTATTTTTTCAAATTTTTATTTTATCTTTGTTTTTGTGAGACAGCCTCATTAGGTAGGTTAGGCTGGCTTTGAACCCCTAACCTATTGTGTAGTACAGCTTTGCCTTGCACTTGTGGTGACGCCTGCTTCAGCCTCTTCAAGTTCTGGGCCTAGAGACGTGTGGCACCATGCCTGACAGAGTTACACACTTTAAAGCAGTTAGTCCTGTGTCATGCGAGTTGTACTTTAGAAAACTAAACGAGCTTGGTGTGGTGTTGCACATCTATAATCGCAGCACTCAAGAGGATGAGGGAGAAGGATTACTACATGTTCAAGGGCAGCCTGAGCTACACAGTGAGGTCAAGGTCAGCCTAAACTGCACAGCAAGACCCTGTGTTAAAACAACAATAACCACAAAACAAACAAAACACTGAATGAGACTGCTGATGGTCAGTGGACAGGGCCCAGGGATGGACCAGGCAGTTGGAGTGAAGTCTAGGACTTCACTAGGGATAACAGGCTGGTCCTCCTGCCACTATCCCTTGAATGGTCAGAGATGGGGCAATGTGGTCAACATCTGGCTTTATTTGGGGCATGGACCTACTGTGATGGGGCTCTGAGATTCAGTTCTTCATCTGTACAGTGCGGACAAGAAGAGCACCTGCCTTACTGGGTCATTGGTAGTTCCAGGTGAGGCAGGATGTGGGGGGCTTGGCTGTCACATTCAGGTAATAAATATGCCACAGCTGAGAATTATGGCTTCTGAAAAAAAAAAAAAAGAATTATGGCTTCCAGTTTCCATGGTCAGTGCAGTGACCATGCAGGGAACAAGGTTCCCAGGCCTGTGGGATTACTTGTGAGGTTTGGGGAGAATGTTCCAAATCATCTTGCTGCAGTGGCCCTTCAAACGCCCCCGTGGATGCGCACAACACCCCCTGCCATGGTGGGGGTTGACTCTGATCCTACCTCTGGGCTGTCCAGCTCCTGTCTGGATAGGTGCTAGGTCCTTCTGCTTGAGTTTAGAACCTGTGCCTGTCCTGCTGCAAGGAGGTTGGGAAAATGACAGCCCTAAGAAGAGGGTGTTCTGGGTTTTCAGAGCAGAATCCCAAACACAGAATAGGGGTTCACTGCCATCTACTCTGGAAAGAAGGATGAGGGGCCAGGAAGGCACAGATAAGCACAGAGTTAACAGGCAGGAGTTGTGAGCCTCAAGTTAGTGGGCAGAAGCTTAATTCCTGGGAAGAGAAGTCAAGATGCGGTATTTTAGGAAACAAGAGCTAGGGCCCATGCTGGCAGGCAAAGCTGGCCCCATAGCTGCTGAGGGAAGGAGGAAGGTGTGGCAGAGAGCTGACAGTAGGTCATAGGTTCCACCTGAGGTTCTCTGTGGGGTTCCACAGATCAAGGGCCTCCCAGGGACCAGGATGTGGAGCAATCCTAGACTCTGTTCCCTGATCAAATGTAGGGCTGTTCCCCCACATGCCCCACCTTGAGCTCTGCACCACAGTCCAGCTGTAGCCTGCCATGTGGGCCACAGCTGTTGTGTATTGGCCTCAGTCACACTGCTGCACATGGCCACCTGGGCAGTTCTGCACCCCAGCTGCTGGTCTCTGCTAGTATCTGAGGCCCAAGTGGGAAGGAAAACTGGGCAAGCCATCTCTTTTCCCACTGCCTGGTCGGAGGGGACCCCAGTGACAGCAGGCTAAGAGCTTACCTCCAGTCTGGGACTGGGCTGGAAAGCTCAAGGGTAGGCAATTTCACTGTGGTTTGAGCCCCAGAGCCCCTTCCGATGTACTCCCCGAATTAATCAGCAGGATCCCCCATTGCCCTTTAAGCCCTGAACAAAGGACTGACTGATAGGGAGGGTTAGTGGTGGAGTCACCATGGTTATGGCCCAGGCCTTCAGAGAGGAGAGGAGAGCTATGTCCTCAGGCCCACCTGTCAAGGACAGCCACTCCTCAGCCTGATACTGGGGACTGTCCTCTCTCAGTGCTCTGTGTGTGGTTCTTGGGAATCGAGTGGGCCTTTGAGTGCCTGAGGTAGGCATCCCTAGCAGGAAGACCCGCCCCA